GGGGAGGGGGGATCACAGAGGGTGGGGACGAAAAGTCGAAACCTCCCTCATGTTTCCCTTCCCTACCATAACTCCAGCGTCCTGATGGTGGATAGCTGAACTCGTTAATTAACTTAATGAGTGATTAACGTTTTAAGAATTTTTGTATTTAGTACATTCTCATTGTAAGAAGCGTCATGGTTCTTAAATTAGCCGAAATTAAAAATTTTAATTTCTAACTAAAGATACATACATTGATAAAAATAAATTTTCCGAATAAATATTATTTTATTGTTCAAACTATTTGTCCTGCAACATTTATTAGTATGAATAAGTAAAAGAGAAAAGAGGATGTCAATCCTAAAAAATTATAGCAAATAAAGATGCTAACTTATAATGACATAAAATTACTCTCTTAAAATTCAGGACAGATGCAGAAACGTTTTACTTTCAAGATGGATGTGTCTCAATTTTGTGAGGCTGGGTCGAATTCAGTCGCTATCTGGAGGAGAATTCTACCGGCCGACTGCGTCTTAATTCAGTAGCTTTCTGTGAATTTCCTCCGTATCAAACACGCAAGACGAATGCCCGAGTAGTGCGCTGAACAGGGGAGGGGGGACAGAGGGTGGGAGCGAAAAGTCGAAACCTCCCCTCATGTTCCCTTCCCCTACCATACTCCCAGCGTCCCTGATGGTGGATAGCTGAACTACGTTAATACATTAATGAGTGATTAAACGTTTTAAGATTTTTGTATTTAAGTCATTCTCATTGTAGAAGCGTATGGTTCTTAAAAAGCGAAATAAAAATTTTAATTTCTTAACTAGATAACATACATTTTGATAAAAAATAAATTTTTCCGAATAAATATTATTTTATTTCAAACTATTTTCCTGCACATTTATTAGTATGAAATAAGAAAAAGAGAAAATGAGGATGTCAATCCTAAAAAATTATAGCAAATAAAGATGCTAACTTAAAATGACATAAATTACTCTCTAAAAATTCAGGAACACAATTGAAACGTTTACTTTCAAGTGATGTGTCTCAATTTACTTACCTAGGTCGAATTCAGTCGCTATCTGGAGGAGAATTCTACCGGCCGACTGCTCTCATCAGTAGCTTTCTGTGATTTCTCCGATCAACACCAGACGAATGCCGGAGTAGTGCCCTAACAAATGGGCCACGGACCGCGCGCAATTTCACCTTCCATTTCTTTGTCCTATCATCCCCCCTTACACACATGCACACAACACGCACTACGTACCGTCATATCAGGAGTGAAGAGCTCGTCCCGGCTGGGGCGGCACCCAGCTGGTGGGAGATACCTCGTTAGGAGAAACCCCGCAAGTGGACGATAGGTCAGTGCCGGATCTCGCCATATAACGGGGGAAAGAACACCACCACTTCCCGAGCAAAGAACATGCATTACACTTACGGGACTAATGGCACTAGTAGTTGACGTGCCCGGAATCACTAAATAATCAGTCTATTTTCATTTCTAGTTTGATATCTTAATAGGCTTCTCGAGCATGGTGCTGAATATTATGATAAAAAATGTGGTTTCTCCTTTGTTAAACGTTATCCGAAAAACGTTCAATTCTACCATGATCTATAACAGGGTTGTCCGACTGGCGATCCGCGGTGCTATTTATTGTGGTCCCCGAAAGGTTATTTAGCCAAAAGTGAAAGGCCTTAAATCCATGTCAGTCGAGAAATTCGTGCGCCTTGCCCACGAGCGCAGCCGGGATCAACACCCCCTTTAATGCAGAAATATATTTAAGATAAATGGGATTTAAGATAGAAATTAGATTTAAGATTTTTTCCTAGTAAATTCAGAAATTTAAAAACCACACCAATGTGTTTCACTGCGTTTATGCATGGTACCCCACCGCCCTCCCCAGTTTTAGAGCAGTCAGGTTAAATGCCGATATCGATGATGTCAGGTTGGATCGGTGGAGGAATGAAATGGCCCGCAGCCATATTAAAGTTTTTATTTGTGGCCCTTGAGACTTTGCAAGTTCAACACCCTTGATTTATAAGGTTGTGTTTCCGTTCTTTTGCGTCCAGAAAAGTTTAATTTTTTGGAAATACGTCACTTTGGAAATAACATTTTACTTATTTTCAATTATTTGTCTACTACTATACAAATATCTTCTGCAAATTGTTTTTCATCTTACCACATTGATTTTTGTTTTGTTTTGCTAAACGCGGCCAGGATAATCCAGGACTTTTATTCAGAACATATCCGCTTCAGTCTAATTTTCCAAATCAATCAGCATTTATGTTAATGACCCTCATCTCGACAAGTAAGTTTCTGATATGGCCCCTCATGTTGCTTCTGATCATAAATGAATCTTTACTATGGATACATTTTATAAAACTCTCTTTTTTCAGGCAGGAGTGGAGCAGGGGAAGTGGGTAGTTATTTTGTTAGCAATACTACAATATCAAATCGGGTAGGATGAAATTATTTAACGTCGAACTAAAAACTGCGTGTGACTTATGGTGGTTCATTCAATCGGTAGACGTTTCTTGACTTCTCCAGATCGAGGTGGGCTTAAATGCCCAACTAGAGAGTATTTGTGTGACGTAAGCGAGTGGAGTACGATTGATTGTAACTTCACATTACTAGAAAACAAATGTTATAAGTTTAATTTATAGTGAAGTGAATGTTATATATAAATGTAATTTTTTAACTGGGGGGGGGGGAGGAGAAGCACGTCAAAACTACGTGTAGGCGAAATAAAACTTATTACTAATTCATAATGAATAGTAAAACAATGTCATGTTTGAACTCCTTTTATTTGAGAATTTCCTTTATTAGTACGAAATTGTTTCTGAATTCGTGGTCCCCTAGAGGACCTCGAAGCACTGAAGAGACCCTAAGGCGTAAGCCAGAATGGAACCTTCCTTTGCTTCTCGTTTCTTTTTCCTCCTTTAATTTCATTTTCTTCATGTGTTTCCTTTCTCCACATTTTCACTCTCGCTTCGAATTCTATGTAACTAATGTATCCGTAACCCCATGCCGCTATCCTGATAGGCACTTTCTGGTTTTACTCAATGTCGGGAAAACCGAGCAACTAATCTTGGATACACAAGCTGTTGGATTTCGAGAACGCAGTGTATCTAAACTACTATAACAAATCTCCAAAGAAATTCGATTCTTTCATGGGACGTTGCAGCTAGGGGTAGCAATCTCAATTAGTTCAAAATTTCACCTGGTGGCTCCTTCAAGCACGTGTTACAAGAGCGTTGTGTTGACCCGCGATAAGTAAAGCGCGGTGGGCGCACTCTTATTTGGGGCAGTCAACACCCTTCTAACATCGCAACTCAGCGGCACGCACGTTTGCTAGCACAAGACCACAGGAAGAAACTCCGTCGCGTGGAAGAGATTGGGCACGTGTGGCTAAGGTCAAAACCGGGAAAGAACTATGACGCAGTATGGTGAGAAATATTCTGGGCAAGTTTTATTAAATCCATAGAGTAATCTTAAATGCTGATAAAAAAAAGTTTCGGCAAGAATTTACAAGACATGCTCCAGTAATAACCATTTGCGAAAGAATCTGCTAGAGATTTATCTATTCCTGATCGGGCCCTTTCTGAAGGAATCTCCTTCCTGCCGAAAGAACCTTGAAATTTTTACTTGCATTAAAGCAAAGGTTTACACAGAAGTTAGTGTTTACTATGCACTAAAGCTAAGAGAAACCATAATTGTGAAAACTAATGGTTAGGAAATTGCACATCGTTATCTTCAATTAGCCTTAAATTTAGCACATGGTTTGATGGTGTGGTTTCGGTATTCCTAGCTTTAGAGTATCTTCACAATTTATTACAAAAGTGCAATGAAGATTAATAGACATTTCACCTGCTCGATGTTAAGAAGGAATTCAATTAAAATTCTGATTAGTTAATACATTGTTTATTTGTGATTAAGTATGTCTAAATACATTTGTCAAACTTACACTAATTTAAAAGCTATTTTTAATATACCCAAAGTTTAGCCCAAGTAATAAAAATGATCAATTTATATTTATGTATTAACAAAAGGAAATCCTTTGCTGAGAAAACGGGACTCTTACATTTCAATATTCCCGTCTGCAAGACACTGCTCACGATTATAAATCATTAGTATTCCACATTAGCCAGTAACAAGTAAAACCGTGTAAATTAACCGAACTATAAAATACTAGAACCATTGTACTACAAGACTTCAGTTACATTCATACCCCTGCAATTTTTCTTGGAAGTCATTCAAAACCTTCAGGACACCCACCAACATCTTCGTTAGGTTTACTTTGAGGAACATCCATGAATGATATTTCTCTATTGTCAAAACAAGCAATTTTTAAAAGTTAAAAGCTACATTAAAAACCTTAAAATTAATTATCTGTTATTCAGACTTAATTTCTAACAAACCATTTGGTATCTAGCTCAATTGTTATTTATATGGGGGTAAAACCTTGACAGTTAATTCTACTTTTAAAAAAATTTTCAACAAATTTTATATTTATCCGTCTCAATCTAGATACGGCAGTCCAATTTCGTAATCACAATGTATCCTTTTCGAATATTAGGAATTCTATAGCTCGTTCCGAGAGACTGAGGTTTGACCGTGGGCTTTTGAGTAACTGCCCCGCCAACGTTCCTCGTGGGAGTATGGCACATAGCGCCGGCGGCCGGCGTCTGGGCTCAGCAGTCGGGCTTGCGGCGCATGGCGACGCCGCGGCTGGTGTCGGTTGTCGTGCCTTCAAGGTCAGTGACGGGCGGGGCAACGCACAGCGCCCGCGGCCAGGTGTCTGACCAGGCGCCGCTCAGAAGCCACGCCGCTTCAGCGGGCCGCCGCAGGGGTCGGGCTCCGCGTTCTGCAGCAGCTCCAAAGTCACGTGGTCGCCGCCGCCCGCGGCGAGGTCCAGTGGCGTACGGCCCTGGTCGTCCGCGATGTCGGGGCGGGCGCCGGCGTCTAAGAGCATGCGCACCAGGTGCCCTGAGGGGTCCGACGCGACCGCCAGGTGGAGGGGCGTGGCCCCGCGGTGGTCGCGCGCGTTCGCGTCGTCGCCCGCGTTCAGCAGGTATTCCACCACTCGTGCCCTGCAAAAATCACAGTAACTCCGCTATGAACGTGCAGGGCAAGTAAAACCGTGTAAACTAACCCAACTAGAAAATACTAGAACTATTCAACTATAGGGCTTTAGTTACATTCATTCCCCCACAATTTTACTTTCAAGTTATTTAAAACCTTTAGTACACCCACGAACATCTTTTTTAGGTTTGCTTTACATCACTGGAAGATTACTTCAGGAGCGGATCCAGAGAAATTTGGGAGGGGGCAGCAAGGTTTTGGCCGAATATTTCGTACTACATACTTCCTGAAATGTCACAGGTTACACTCTGCTAATGCTGTGATACTATTTTATTCGTATTAATGAAAATCCCAAAATATTCCGGCTTAAAAGTTTCGCGACAAATCAAAATTAATAGTTACTGAAAAATCTATAGGGGGATTTCTTTCATTTCACTTTGTATTCATTTGAACATATTTTTAGGAATACAAATTCAAGTTATATAGTCACTAATATTCTACTCTGATATTTATTCCCTAAAACCATGACCAAAATTTTACGAGACTGAAGTATAAAATTACTCCCGATTGTTCCCAACTTCTAAGAAGCAGTCAAGTAACTGTGTCTAAGAGTTTGCCCAAAATATGGCTTATTCCCAAAAAACGCAGTGTCAATCTTGAGCGACCCAAGTTGAACAAGTCTATAAAGATAGGAGAATAAAACCGAGCTTTTTATTACTATTAGTACGAAGAGCGTGAAAGAAAGCGAACACTTGCGTGACCTCTCACCTGTTATTGCTCGTGGCGACATGCAGAGCCGTGTTGCCATGCGAGTCCTGCGCGTCGATGCGGGCGCCGACAGCCAAGCACGACTTCACCTGCTCCAGGTCGCCCCGCTCCGCCGCCGCGATCATGCACTTCACCAGTACAGACACCCCGCGAACCGCAACCGGCCCCGGTCCCGCCCCCTCGCCGTCCGTTTCCTCCGAGGAGGCGAGCGAGAACGAGGACGACGAAGACGGCGACGGCGACGTCGGTTGCCCGTTGGCGGCAGGGCCGTTTCGAGCTGGGTGGGGAGCCGGCGGGCGCGAGATGGGGTCGGAAGGAAGGTCAAAGGAGCCCCTTCCTGGCATCCACATCGGCAACGAGGGCGGGGGCATGCAGTGCGAACCCGCGGGCTGAAGGGCCATCGGCGTGCGGGTCAAGGGGGTGGCCAGATCTATGGTCTTGAAGGGG